AGATGAGACAAAATACAGATACTTGGTTCACTAGAAATAATATTTTAATACTATTTCTAAGAAATTTTCAATGGCAAAATATTTGTCTTTTAATTACAAAAAGTAAAACAATGCAGTTGTATTTAGAAATATTTTAACTAATCTAGGGCTGTAACTAATTATTATTTTGGTAATCAAGTAATCTACTGATTATTTTGACAACTGAGCAATCTGGCATTTTTTTTTGCAACAAACAGACCCAAGTGAAAACCAGGCTTTAATATGACTATTTACATATAAACTAACGATGAGGCAATAATAATTGGCTCAAATAAAATATCAAAACCAAGAAATGACATGACTGTATTGAACAACACTGTTAAAATACATAATGTAATATGCCTATATATAATATGAAGATAACCAACTTAAGTACATTATGTATTACAACAAATACCTGCAGAGGGCGCCAACGGCCTGGTGACGTTTCACTTTACAGCGTGATTAAACTATCTTTAAATCCATTTAATTTTAATATTTGGCCACATGCAGAAACGTTTATTTTGAAATCGTGATGTACAATACATGGCATATTTAGAAATAGGTTGGTGCATTCTCCTGTGTTGGCAAAGGTTTATAAATGATTTACGTTACAAATATAGTGAGAAAATGCACACTGTTTTCCCAGATGAATGTTAAAGGGGTCATATGATGCGATTTCAATTTTTCCTTTCTTACCATTAATGTAAACAGGACCTTTTCAAAAATCCCGGTAAATTTGTTCTGGCAATCATATCGTTTTACGTTTTACGGCATGATTACTCTGAGCTGTTTACAAAGCTCCGCTGCTTTACTGAGGAAAATTCTGTTCTTCTGGGGCCTCATTTATAAAATGTTGCGTATAAACCTTCCTAAATTTGTTCTAAGATAATTTCTCAAAAGTGCGTAAGTGCGATTCAGGGAAAACGAACGTGCGCACAAAAACACGTGCGTACGCCTCTCTTCCAGATGTTTCCAGATGTAAATTGCAAATGATCTTGAAATTGTGCGCAGCTGACTGGTGTCAGATCTCCGCCTTGTAAGCCTTGTAAA